TCTCATTCAATTATCATTTAATATTTTTCTGCACAAATAGTAGATAGTAGAACGAGTGTAGGTTAATTTTTTTTTGCTTTCTGGCTTTACCCGCCTCTACCTAGCTGTTGTGATTAATCTACTCACAACACACTGACTTGTTCAAACTGAGGTAGATAGTTGTGAATATACAAAGAACAGTGGGGAAAACGTATCTACAGAAGAAATCGTGTAATATTTATGATGCAAAAGGTCATAATCTACTCACACATACTGAAGTAGGCAGTGTTGAATACACAAACAATGGTGCAAACAGAACAACAACTGTCATGTGCAATACTTACGGTGCAAAAGGTCATGATGTGCAAAAGTATAGTGCAAAATTGCATTAGGTCCTTATAGGTTGGTGGAAGAAACTGTATTCAAATGAAAAATTTGCAAAAGCAGATAACTCCATTTTAGTAGATTTTCAGAAAACTTGTTTTTATTGTTGTTTGCCTGAGATAATATCAATCAAACTGAAGCTGAGTGGATTTGACTCAGTAGAAATGACAAAAATAGACAAATCTGATTGATATTGTCTCAGGTAGACGATGGAAAAGTGGGTTTTCTGAAGGTTTGTGGAGATGGAGTTATCTGTTTCTGCAAATGAACTCTTCAGATGTTAATAGGCTCTCATCAATAAGACGTAACAGAATTAAACCTCTTTTTTTCTCTAATTAACATAAACTGCTGTAGTAATAAAAACACATTTGTAGATTCAAGGAGAGAGGATCCATGCACCTTTAACCATTTTATCAAAACCATGCTTTTTATTAGCTGCTTGACGTCACAAGCTTGCTCTCAATCCTAACGCTTGTCTTCAACAGAGGAGAAGCTTAAGATGCATGCAAGGAGAGACACTGGTTGAAAGCCTCTGGTTGGATTTGATCCCCTGGCTGTGTGGGGGGGGGAGCACATGCGGCTGCAGACACTTAACAGCCATGCAAACATTGTTGTGGTTGTTAAAGAACACAGAAAGGCTTTCCACACACAGTCAGGGCTTTTGTCTCGTCGGCATGTATGTTTGAAATCATGTGCCTTCTATTTTTCTTGGTTGACTTTGCAGCGTGGCACGCACAAGGTGTCACCGCTCTTTCTCCAGAGACTTGCACAACTTGTGCCAAACGTTTAAATGAAATCAGAAGTTGTACCCACTTGAGTGTCTATTCTTTAGTCATGCAAGCGTACCGTACAGGGTTTGCATCTCGCCTTACATACACTCATATTTGTGGTATCACAGAAGGCAAATATAGTTCAGAAGTAGGCAGGGCGCATGCTTGCCAATGCAGTGAGAAAGTCATATAAAAATAAAATCATTTTACTTACCCAACATTGGGCAGGCCGACAATTCCTATTTTCAGTGAGGTGCCAAACCTTCCAATCAGTGGTGGTGGCTTTGGTGCATCATCTCCCTTGCCCTAATAAAGACAATGTGGAAATGCCTGCAGTCAGAAAAGAGCACTTGGCATTACATAACCTACAACACGCGCTCATTTTTGAATGGATCTACTCTTTGACAAAAACACACCTTTTTCGGTGCCATTTCTCACACTTCAGGTTTTTACTGACTTCCACGACAACTAACAGAGTCAGAAAAGCACATTCATTGATAGAAAATGGGCTAAGCTAAGTCCTCAAATGAAACCAGTCCACTGCTCTTCAACCAGCTCGGTCCCTGCGCTCAAAATAGAACATGCAGCTTGTGGAAGTGAAAGTTGACACTGTAAGCTGGCAAGCTGACCAGCACCTCCAAATTTAGCTGTCGATAATATCGATGTGTGGTTGATGAGCTTCTGTAACATCCACCCTACATAGCAGCACTGCTGAAAAAATGAATCCTTATCAGAGGTTTCATCTTATTATTGGGATCAGTCCTGACAGGCGACTAACGCTCATGAATTGTGTCTCAATCCTGACAGGTCCAAGCAATTTTGCCAAGTCTTTTTTTTTTTTGTTTTATAGCTTATTGACTTCCTACAGCAATAAATCCTTGTTGTAAAACAGTTTATTTAACTATACTTCAATATATGTCAATTCTATTTTCCCACCGTAGTCTCTGTTTACCTGCCACTGAAAGAAGAATGAGCTGGCAACCTTAATGCGCAAGTAATAAAACTAACTGGCAGACAAAATGCAGAGCTTGTCATTTAAAGTAAGACATCAAGAAGACAAGCTGGTTTTTTTCTTTTTTAAAAACATTATCTTTATATTTTTGCAGCAGAATAAAATAAATTTTACAACACAGACATATCTGAAGACACACTAAGTAAAAGCATCTTGACAAAATCCATACACTTGTGCCCACTTTTTCTATTTACTGAGCTTCCCCCTGATGTGCTTCTGACACAAGTGGAATTTTCACATTAAAAAATGTGCAGCTTCAGCACCACAGAAATAAAGTGTAACATCCTCTCACTCGTGGTTCATTCCAACCCCCTTTGGGAGAAGCAGGTGTAGCCACACGAGCACACGAAATTACAACAATTAGTTAAACATCCTCAAATAAACTTGCCTCTGCAGAAATACAAATTAAAGCACACGGGGACACAACCAAACACCATTGCCCAATCCAGCAGCCTGTCTAGTTTAACATGCAGAAAATGAGGCTCTAATAATCTGGATTTGAGGCAAGTGAGGCTGGCTTTGTAGAAAGAATTTAAATGAATAGGTCTGAATTAATCATTTATCTTTTGTTGATGGATGCACCCCCACTTAGACTCATCACAATAGATGCAGAGCGTTTTGTTCGACCAAATAAATCATTCCCATTGTTTAAGGTACATTGATCAATCTAATGGCTTGTAATAGGCTCCTAATTGCCACAGAGAAGTGCTCACGAATGGAGTCCAGAATTACAGATTCAGCTCAGAATTTTCACTTGAATGACAAGGCAGGATCATGTTGTGCCCTCTTGTCCCAAACACACATCCTCTGAAAAATCACCAACATTGTGCTGCTCAAGGTTCATCCAACAAATATATTTCTTTACAAATAAATTGCAATAAAAATATTAAAAGGTTGTATTTAACAGAGCATAAAAAACCCTGTGATTCCTTTACACATTTCTTTGTTAGGACCCTCACACTGCTCATGATTAAGATATAATCCTAAACACAATACAAGAATATTAAGCAGCAATTGTAATATCTCTCTATTATTAATTCTTTACACACATGGTGAAATTTTTTCTTTATTTGGGAAAAGAATGATGGGAAATAATTGAAGGTTGGAGCTTTTTTTCCTCCGATTTCTTCTAAAGAAATTACAGTGAAAGGAAATGCTTGCATTGTGCATTACATTTCATTTAACGCTCGAATTAATTTAACTTCTTTAGAAACAATCAACTCTGCTTATGCAGAGCAGACATTTAATACTGTTAACAGCACTCTGCCAAATTGTCATGATTGCAAAAATGATTCCATTTTCTTGGCAGCGCTGAGTATTTGATGACACTGATTTTTATTCACCCTTCCAAAGGTGGGGTTTTAAAGCAAAAAAAAAAAAAAAGGGAGTATTTGAACAAATTGCGCCTGTGTTTACTGGCAGCATTCATACTCTATAATAGAGCATTATTTGCCCGTTTTGAATACTGTAATGCACATCTTTCGGTCAAGCCTTTCTCTGGAAAATTGCTTTAACTTTTAAAGGGATGATGAATCACAGCAGAGCAGGTCAATTTTACATTATGCCATTATCCCTAAGCGTTTTATCAAGCTATGGAATATGCGGGCTTTATTGAATCGTGATATTCAAAGAAAGAAAAATAATAAAATAAATTTACCAAAAAAAAAAAAAGAAAAGAAAATCTCGTCTTGAGGAAAAAAAATGGCGAAACACCGCATCCTCATCATTGTCCACAATTTAATTAAATTGCCGTTAAATTTTTATTTCTCAGCTACAAGACAGACACCGTGTCTCCTGTTAAATCAGTTTAATGGGGTGACTGGCGCACTTACACCAGGTGTCCCCCTCCTCCTCCTCCTCTTCCTCCTCCTCCTCCTCCTGCGAGCTCAAACTTTTTCCAACACTTGTCTTTTAAAACACATCTACTACATGATAAAGCGAGCTGTCATTTTTAATTAACCCCTCACCTGCACTCCCCCCAACAAGTAAGCAGGGGGGAACGAACGCGTGCGGCACCGGGCGTGCGCCAACACGACCACACGCACGGAGGCAGACGCGCGTATTTTATTTTATTTTTTTACGGCAAAAGTTAAAAACAAACAGGAGGTTAGTTGATTAATTACGACTCTTCAGCTATTTTTCTTCACATATTCATGAAGCCACTGCATAAATAATCCAAGTTGCGGTGAGAGAGCTGAGGTCTGCGCTGTCAGGCCTGTTTCTGGACTTCTTCGCCGAACTTGATCCATCTCTGATTTTTCCATTTTAAACACTTTAAAATGTGGGATAGAGCGCACAACACCAGCTGTTTCCCCACTGTGTGTTAACTGCGCCATGCCTAACGCAGCAGCAGCAGCAGCAGCAGAAGCAGACACTGACTACAGACTGTTTTGATGAAGTCATCCTCAAGTTATCGCTCACATTCATAGTCTGCGCTTAAATCAACAATTTCTCAATGACGTGTCGCACATGATCTGAATATTGAAAATCAGAAAAGGGAAACCTGGAACATGGAAGAGTGTCGCCACAATCCACAAGGAAGAAAAAAAAATTAGTGAAAAGCTTACCTCATGGAGAATTGACGTGTGAACTCAATTCTGCAATGAAAGGAGACATTGAGCCTTCGTGTGAGAATACATAAAAATAACTGTATGCATTAAAAAAATACCAAATCGTGTCTTGTATGACAGTCTGAGCAGAGGCTGCACAACACATGATTGACGGCGGGGTTTTTGGTGTTTCTGTCTGTGGTCGGCCCTCTCATTGGCTGACTTCAAACCCCAGCCATGAATGCAGCTATTAGATTGGCTGCGCGTCGTCGCCAGCTGTACTTCAAAGAACACGCTCACTACAACTAGGTAGTGTTGGGAGCTGCGAGCCAAGAGAGAAACCGTGTGACCTGAGTCAACACGGGGAAATCTGAATCAAATTGGAGCCGTACAGCATTGAAATCGCGAACACTCTCATCACAGCACAGACCCTGGATATGGCTACGTCTATACTTGGGGTGAGTCCGGCTCTGTGTTTATGCGTAAAAGTTGCGCGTAAAGTTATCGCTGCCTACTTTGCTTTGCAACAAAACGCGTTTGCTTCCTCTGTAAACACGCGGGTTTTCACGTCTGTAGCTACTTGAGATTTACTGCTGTGTTGTGTGTCATTACTTAACTTGATTGAGTAGTTTTCTTTGGTATTAAAATGAACTTTTAGTCGCGGACGAAGCGTGTGTTGATGGAACAAGAGCTGGCCAAACTTTGTTGTGGTTTCAATATTTTCTGCGCGCTGCACTTCATATTCTGAGAAACTTGATAAACCTGATTATTGTTGCGTGTTTTATTTGTCGCACGCTTTGTTCACAAACCCTTAAATGAATATAATTAGTCTCCTCTCAAAAATGTTAAGTGAACTGCGGTTATAATTAATTTGCTGAACTCTTGTTTGGTTGCGCACACGCAGCGTCCGAGTGAAGCAAAAACAAACAAATATAAGATCAGTCTTCCCACATTTTTCTTTGCGTGTTTTAAGTCCAACTTTTTTGGTGTGTTTCTTTTAGGAAGAGCCACGGTTTGGAACTACACCTCTAGCGATGCTGGCTGCAACTTGCAACAAAATTGGTAACACCAGTCCTCTTACAACTTTACCAGACTCCAGCGCTTTCTCCAAAGGTGGATTTCACCCGTGGAAGAGATCCTCCTCCAGCTGCAACTTGGGATCCAGTCTGCCCGGTTTCACAGTAGCAACAAGCCGAGCTTCGACAGGACTAACACCGACCAGTGGCACAGGCAACAGCGCCTTTTGCTTAGCCTCCACCTCCCCGACCTCGTCTGCGTTTTCCACAGAGTACAGCGGTCTGTTTTCCAACTCTGCGAGCGTCACGACCCAGGAGTCTGGACAGTCTGCTTTTATCTCCAAAGTCCACACATCAGCAGAGACTCTGTACCCGCGGGTGGGGATGGCGCACCCGTACGAGTCGTGGTACAAGTCGGGGTTCCACTCAACTATCTCTGGTGATGTCGCCAACGGGGCGTCCTCGTGGTGGGATGTCCACACTAACCCCGGCTCGTGGCTCGATGTCCAGAATCCGGCGAGCACCCTCCAGACCTCACTGCACTCCGGGACCCCGCAGGCTATCCACTCCCAGCTGAGTGGCTACAACCCGGACTTCTCCTCGCTCACCCACTCGGCGTTTAGCTCCACTGGAATCAGCCCGTCCGCGTCTCACCTACTGTCCACCAGTCAGCACCTGTTAACGCAGGACGGTTTCAAAACGGTCATCCCCACTTACACAGACGCTTCTGCCGCCAACGCCATGATTTCAGGGGGCAGCTCAGGAATAAGCAGCTCCTCCAGGTCGTCCAGGCGGTACTCCGGCAGAGCAACATGTGACTGTCCGAACTGCCAGGAGGCTGAGCGGCTGGGACCCGCCGGGGCCAGTCTGCGCAGAAAAGGACTGCACAGCTGCCACATTCCCGGCTGCGGTAAAGTGTACGGAAAGACATCTCACCTCAAAGCGCATTTGAGATGGCACACCGGCGAGCGGCCTTTTGTCTGCAACTGGCTTTTCTGTGGCAAAAGGTTCACTCGGTCCGATGAGCTCCAGAGACACCTGCGCACCCACACCGGCGAGAAACGGTTTGCTTGCCCGGTGTGTAACAAGCGCTTTATGCGGAGTGACCATTTGAGCAAGCACATCAAAACGCACACGGCGGGCGGAGGAGGCAAAAAGGGCAGCGACAGTGACACCGACACCAGTAACCTGGAGACCCCGAGGTCCGAGTCCCCAGAACTTATTTTGGAGGGTGTGAACCCCAGAATCACTGTTAAGGATCCGTCTCCTCACGACGAGCCCTGAGGCTTCATCTCCTCCTCCTCCTCCCCAAAAACAAATCAAACCACATTAAAAAAAAAAAACTGCACAGCAACGAAAACGGGTCTTATTTGACGGACAATAAAAAGGAGAAAATATTTCCAGAAGCGATGGCAAAAAAAAATCTAAAAGAGAAAAAAAAACCGGAGGAGGAGGAAAAAAAAAACAAAAGATATATTCTCCACAGGCGTAACGAGTATTTCATTCGTGAGTTCATCTCCAGAAAGCAGAGTGATTTACTCACTGTAGGCCTCCACAACGTTTTTAGGGACAACTTGAAAATGAAATGGATGTTTGCTTAACAAGGGTGCGCGAAACCTGTTGAACTTTGGTTGGACAATGTGAGTTACATCTTGTATATTGACGACTAAACTATGTGTTCTTTTCATGTAAATGTTAGGCTATGATTGTTTTATTCGTGTTGGTATCCTGGAAATCAGGGAGTTTACTTTCGACGCACTTTGTGGATATGTATGTACACAGCTTTTTCAAAAATTTTGGTTAACCATTTTATTTCTTTGCTAAAAAAAAAAAAAAATTATCTATATATAAATGTTTACCTGTATAAAGTCACACGTATAAGACTTTCATTTTATCGTAATTAAAACATCTTTAAAAAAGGCTGGAACTGTGTGATGTAGAGTTTATATTTTTTATTTATTTGCTAGGGTTGATTTTTATTTTTATTTTTTAATTTAGACATTTATTTTTAAACCGTGAGGCTATTTTTTTTTTTCTCTCTCTCTCAAAAAATCACCTACAATACCTTGACTTTCACTATTTCCCCCCCTATGGAATAAATCAATGTTTAATGCCCCGGAAAAGACATTTCATGCCCAAATGAAAATCTTGTTAAATGGTATTAATTATGACTTGGAGCACATCGCAGCCCCATGTGTCTTGTATTTGCGATTAGGGATTCGTGTCTTATCAAATATCTAATTAATCTCCGAGACATCTTTTGTTCAGTTTCACTTTATCGGGGGGTTTCCAAGGGGGTTCGCTGACAAAGGTCCCCGAATATTTATTCTAATTGTCCAAATTAACTGCTTTCATTTGCATACCAATCGATGGGCCGAGAATAAGGATATGGCTTCTTTTTCTCTCTTTGCCAGAAAAACCACATAGATGTTATGGGAACAGTTTTTTTTTTTTAACTTTAGAAAAAAAAAAAAGAAAAAGAAAAAAGGGGGGCAAAGAGTCACATGCAAATGTTGAATTTTAAATGCTCCTTGCGCAGCGCAGTCAAATGGTGGCTGCATGTTATTTGAATATCAGTGGCCCCGTATTGAAAGGGTTCAAGGATGCTCTCTGACTTCTTTGTGCTTACCCAGTGCAGCGTCCGACTCTCAAAGAAAAAGCCGGGGAATAATTACAGCGTGAATCCAGGACTGGGAATGCGTCATGGAAAAGCATCTCATCCAGACACCCTCTTTTTTTTTCTCCTTTTTTTTTTGTGAAGAGGATGTTAAATTGACCAGAAGGCAATAGAGGGAAATTATTTTCATTTCCTTTTGTGTACCAGCGGCTTCAAGGAAACGACCAGATAGTGAAAACTATCAAATTAGACTTTCAGTTTGAATTAAATCACAACATAAAAAGCTCAACTTACAGCAAAGGCAACACGCTGAAATGTCAGATTTTTGTCCACACATTTAGGAGCTAAATTCTAATTTATTTTTTTTAGAGAGATAAAATGTAATTGCTGATATTTTTTTTTTTATTGGGATCAAAATTATGTTTTGACAGACTGAACCTGTCAAAATAAAATTAACACATATTTTCATTTGAAAAGACAAATGCTGGCTTTAAATGCCTTCCTCCTTCTCTCTCGCGATATGTATATTTATTTGCACAATTTCCCATTTAAAAATAAAATATTTAAAAAATAGCAACTGTTGCGTTAATTTAAATAAATAGTGCAATGTTATTTCCGCTTTACGCGCCAACTGTTTGCGCTCATGGCACCGATTTTGGACAGAATTCATTTTTAATTCTGTTCATTTTTGACGCGGGAAAAATCTCAGCAGAATGTATTCAATGACTTGGAAAAAAACGTACCAATGCTATTTTTACTCACGGAAACCGCCCAGATTATTGGGGGAAAAAATAATATTGCGACTAAAATAATTCTAAATCGTGCCTTCAGTCGTTATGAGGCGTCAACCTTAAACACAACAACGTGGCGACAATAACGGCTCATCAGTCAACATACAAACCCGCAGCTTCACTACATTCATTTCAAACATCGCAATAAATAACGCAATAAATTGAGAGGTTTAAAATTTTAATCAGAGAATTAAAGTCCTGTTTTTTTCTTTTTTTTGTTTTTATCCAGGAATCAACAGCCGTCCAAGAATTACAGCTCACAATGCCAGTACCCCCCTTCCCCCCCAAATAAAAAGACTCCATCATAAAAGTAAGATTTAAAAAAAAAAGCTGCAGCAGCAACGGAACTTGTCTCACCATGAAAATGAGTCCAACATTTTCCCATCAACGGATCAGCTGCAAATTGCTTCCAATGGCAATCAATTAATTTAGAGCCTTTCATACAGCACAAAACAGCATCAGCAGCACTGAGCGCCGTCTGGAGGGTTTCTAGGCCGCTGCTTCCCTCTACTGGAGGAAAAGGAGAACAGCAGACAGTATCTGCAGTTTAATATTTAAACAGTAGGACCCTATAGAAGACTACTTTGCAGGGAACATGCACAACATTTCTACTTTTTTTTTGTTTGTTTTGCTGGGTATTGTACGAGCGGAGACAACAGGAAACAACAAGCCCAAGTCAGTGCTTTCTCTTTGCTCCGTCTTGGCTCCTCTCTCGTCTCTCCCTGCTCCTGCTTCTTCCCCTGCCCTCCCTTTCCTTTCTCCTTTCTCTGCTTCTGCTCCTCCCATCTGCTGTTCTGCCTTTCCTTCCTTCTGTGCTACTTCTGTTCCTCTCTCCATCTCTGCTGTGATGTCTGTCTTTACCTCGGTCCTCCCTGCCTCTCTCGCGGCTTCTGCTTCTGTCCAAGCCAGACTTGGAGCTGCTAGGTCTCTGCCTGTCCCTGCTGTTGGGCCTCTTTCTCTCTTGACCTCCCTCCAGCTTGATCTTGTGCTCGGGGCTGCGATTGCGACTCCTGCTCCTTCCCCTCTCTGTCTTTGTTTGTCTATAATCTCCAGACTCCTCTTTAGGCCGCCTCCGTCCAGCGTGAGGGCTCGGTGACCTGCTCCTGTGAGAAGAGGCCTTTTTCTGACTCTTGACTTGACGCTCGCTCTCAGAGCTGTTATCCCGACAGGAATCTCTTTTCTTGTTCTTCTTTCTCTTTTGGCTCTTGGACTTGCTACGACTGTCTGAATCTGAGCCACTATCGCTGCTGCTGCTGCTACTGGAGGAGTCACTTGAGCTGTCACTGCTTTCATGCTTCTTCTTGTGCTTTCTTTTGCTTTTCTTCTTCTGCTTCTTGCTCTTCTTCTTCTTGGCCTTTTGCTTTTCGAGCCGGTCGAGTTTTCTGTAAAACAAGGAAAACAGATTAAGACTCTCCGAAGAGACAGTGGACATAGAATGAGATACTAGCAGAACAAATCCTGACAAATCCTGGCAAAGTCTGCCAAGAGCATTAAAGGTATAATACTTGAGCAGAATGGAAAGAATTATATTAAAATACAATAAAAAAAAACACCTGATCTAATGTTTAAATTGGACTACAAACACATAACCTTTGAAAAAATGTATTAGAAACATTACAGAATCCGTAACATTTTTAATTCATAGGATTTTCTCTTCAGCTTATCAAAAACATACATTTAATTTTGGCTCATTATTCACATTGCAGGGCTTTAATTAAAACTCTAACACACTACCATGTGAGAAGTGTGCAGTGTGTGTTTGTACCTGAGGAGTTTCTGTTTCTGTTTGGTCGTTAGCGACTTCAGAAATTCCACCTCGGGATCTTCCTCTTCATCACTGGCAACATATTCCTGGAAAAGCGCATTGAAATTTGCACTTGAATCAAAGCCACAACGTGCAGAAAAATACTCGATGGCAAACCCATATGTTTGATTACATCAGCCGAACGCCTTCGACATTGATAGAATTTCTTTATCAGATCTGTTCACTTGACCTCAGCTGCGCCATTAACCAACCACTTTCCTGCAAATGGATGCAGCCTAAGGACACGCCAAAGCTATAGTCTTCTCTTTCTCAAGGGTATAGCATACGTGTGTGTGTTCGTATATTGTCCTATGTGCACAAAGATGACAGTGTGAGACAGACAATTACCTGTGATGGATCACAAACAGTAGAATTCCTACCAAGGACACATTTTTTCAGGGCAAACCCACTGTTTCGCATCTCCGCCATTAACTCCGAGGGGTGCATCGACGGACCTGTTGGCACAAATCACAGCCTCAGAGTCCCATTGATGTCGAACCCATACCATCCACTATCTCCACAGTGGGAATTTCAGAGGCGGCTTTGTTAACAGAATGGGACATCAAATCAACTCACTCCACTTCCGGCTGAGCAAATCATACAATATCATTCTCTGCCAAAGCAGCAGTTAGGGGAATCAGAATACACAATAATTACATTTTTTCTTCTGGCACAGGAGGGGGACCATTACAGCACTCCACCATCAACACCACTGACTGGACTCTCCCAGGGTAAACATTATTACTTTACTACTCAACTCGCTGATTGCAGAATCAGCTCAAGGCTGGGAGCTCCAGCTGAAGGCTGAGAGGAAAGATACAGTAGGTGTAGCTCCTGCAAAATGGGTGACAGACCACAGCCTCCCCACTGGCTAAAAGCACCTTGATATTCTGGCTCCTTGTTCTTTTGTACTACAAAAGATTATTGTAGTTGTTGCGTTGCATACCTAAAAACAAGCATCCATCCATCCATTATCTATACACCACTTAATCCTCTAAAAATAACAGAAATATACATACATATTTCGGGAACCAAAGCAAGTAAAATATTCTGCAATTTCACACTATAATTAAATTCATAATGGCTACTCATTACAGGTGATCAAAAATATACACACAGTGATGCGTATATGTGCTTGTCTCCACTGACGCGTATTTCAATTTATTTATTACTAATGTACAGTTAAGTGAGTATATAAATGGTATTGCTTGTTTACATACATTTCAAAGTGACATTAAGATAAAACTGCTACTGGTATGTCCAGGGTGTCCCCTGCCTTCACCCTGAGTCAGCTGGGATAGACTCCAGCCCCCCGCGACCCTAGTGAGGATTAAGCGGTGTATAGATAATGGATGGTTCACACAGTCATTACAGTTCTTTTATGTACCTGCTGCCTCGTCTGACGCCACAGAGCTGGCATTGATACCCGACAGTCCGTACAGAGGGCACTCTCTGTCGGTGTTCACGTGGCCCCATTTGTGACATTTGATGCACCTCACGTTGCGCACCTTGAGAAGTTAACAACAGATTAATTGAAAGTTTACTGTACATATATTTAAAATTACATCAACTCCTAATGATGAGGTAAAATACACAACATCAATGTGTTTAATTCATAACAAGCTACTTTTTAAAATGTGCCTGTGTATACATCAAACAGGGTATGTCATAAGAAAGCCAATCTTTTTAGCTTTTGATCCCTGAAAACAAATCGCTGCCTACATGCGACACTTGACAAAAGCGACGACTTGTCTGTGAACATGTGCTGCAAACATTACAACATCAGCAGGACTTTTCCATGTGTGATTCATCTGTAGATCTTTCAAGGACCCGAGAAGATGAAAGTACCCAATATTTCAAAAGAAAAAAAAAAGGCATCTGGCTATCTGAGAAAAATAATAAAGGCATTTTATGTCCTATTCATTTACTTGTGACTCTCACAGATTAAACCACCAGGTCAGGAATAAATTGTGTGGTATACCTGCTTCAAATAAAGACAAATCATCACACACCTGGATTCCAAATGGTTGATCTCTAATGTTCATGTCATCCTTTGCATACCTACAAGATACAATCAAAGAGAGAAAGTCATGTAAATTCTGACAGCGCTGGACAAGAAAACTTCAAATGTGTATAAAAATCAGCTTCGTACTTCTCTCGAGGAGCCACCTTCTGCCACTCAAATTTGTACTCCTCTTCCCCTTCCCCCTGGAAAGCACATTTTTATTATGGATTTTAGAATTCAAAGCTTACTTGTTGAAAATGAATGTAATCCAATGGGAAGCAAACTCCAATAACAATTTGAAGACAGATTCAGAAGATACTGTAGACATGTTGCAGACAGTGGCATAGCAAAGAAAGCTGGGCTCTGGACATACAGTGCTGGTATTTGTTGTAACACTGTCATATCTGTGCAATAAAAGTATGCACACTCATCTGTAGTTGATATTAGGGTCAGTAATGTTTTGTGTACAATGCATTTAGCAAGGGTTTTGTCCCCTAACACCATAGTTCGTCTGTGAAGTTTTCACTATGAGGTTTTAGAACATTTTTTCTTATATTTGGTCTTTGTTGTACCGTGAACATAAATACAAAGGCAAAATGCATTTTTAGCAGTGAAATTTTCCCATACTCAGTCCAGAAAAAAGGCACTATGTTTCTGATCCAGAATGACCAAATGTAAGCATTTACAAACTTCTAATTCTGAACTTTTTTTTGAGGACTCTCTAATCATAATGAGGCTTTTTGTACTTATAAGTTTGTAATGTTCAATACTTTACCTCATTCTTTTCCTCTTCAGGCCAGAAGATAGTTATGAGGAGAAAACAAAGACAGAACAAGTATTAAAATATTGAGGTTTACTTTCTTCAGAATTAAGTTTAAATTAGGTAGTGATCAGAGCTGCTTTGTGTAACAGATTTTTTTACCTTTGGATGCTCCAGGTGGAGCCTCATACATGAAATTGAGGCCATTTTTAACACGATCATCACCCATCAAAAGCCTGGAGTTGAGAAAACCACATATTGAATACTTTTTAACAGAATTAAAAATTACAAAATGTGAAGTTGAAGAAGGTCGACAGAAAATGCCCAAACAGCCTTATTGTGAAAGTAACATTTCCAAATAGTCCATATACATTGATCAGCAGACTAAAATAACAAGCACAAAATTAATTTGGTAAGCGAGTTGACTTCTAAGGAGGTACGAGGTATCCCCCCATGTACTTATCTAACCTGTTGTTGTAAGTGTCCTGCTCTTTCAGATATGCCTGCATAAGGTCCTCTTGCTTCTTCTTCTCGAAAGTGAGTTTCTGTTCTGCGATCCATACCTACGAGATGAAGTGACAGAGACAGTTATAGCATATATACGTCCTACTTGGTCTCACAGACATATTGTCAAGAAAAAATCCTGCTCCAACTTCCGTGCAGGCCTACGTGCCATTACTAACATGTACCAACTCTTCAATCTATATGTTTGTCATCAGATCATTGATTAGTTGACTAAAGTAATTTTAATAATTGTTTAAAAAATTACATCATACAACACTGACTGATCTTAGCTTCTTAGACGTAAGATTTGTGATTTTGAGTATTTCACAGGCTTATCGTAAATCAAATTTATGTCAATTCCGGCTGTACAAAAAAAACAACAACATACAAACACAAACGTAAACACAATTTTTTTTTTAATCATATCTGTGAGGTGTGTATCCTGTAAATATTGTCAGTTCATATTCTGTGTAAGAAGTGTCTGAAATGCTAGTGGCAGTGCACAATCAACAAAAACATACACACACATCAGAAGGAAAACATCACTACAATTTCTGCTGCTGACATACAGTGATCACATAATCAACATTAAATAATGCAGTTAGCAAATATCAAAAGCATGCAAGTAGTTACAAGAATCTAACATTACTGATAGAATTTAGTGTATGAATTCTCATCAAACAAGGTATTTGAGTACAATAGAAGGTCATGGCTGGTTTAAGTTTACTCAACAATAGAGACACTCAATGAAACGACATTTGATTGGAAACTAAAACGACCTGAGTTACAATATTAAGCTTGACTCGTCAATACAGCCTCAGCTTGAAACTGAACCGTAGCTAGTTTTAATCAGCTACATCGCGACAAAACAAACGTGGCTGGTTTAACTAATTCCTACAGAGTGAAATAAAGAGTGGGTTTTATCTGAGGCCAACATTTTCTTTCAAATAGTTAGCAAAGTGTTAGTTTTGGTACGTAGCAAGCTGAGCTAGTAAGAGCAGCTAACAAACAGCATAGCTCTTTAGCTAGCAGGCTAAGCTAACGTCCTCTAGCTTTACAAATAGTGACGCTAACTGTAAACTAGCACTTACCTTTTTGATATTTGACTTCGACGCAGGGTGAAAATCCTTCTTACACATAAAGTTGGCAAACGACTTCCCCATGGCTGAGGCCGGTAACGGTAGCCGAGTGGAAACGGGGCGTTAGTGTTTGCTAACGGAGCTTAGCTTCCTACGCATGTAAACAAAACGGACGACAAGAAGACAGTTTCACACTGGAGTAAACCCGGGTCGGTTTATCCGTTTTGCGGTGAAAACAGTGTTACAGCAGTAAATGAGTTTAAATACAGGTAAACAGTTTGGGAAATATAAACCAACAACTACATTGTTAACTTTAGTTTTTCATGTAGGTAATAGTTTTCTGAAAGTCTGCTTCAGGTGCGGTTCTAATGTATGTGGAAAATGACAGATTAAATTATACACTTAAAAAAAAACACTACAACATATAATTTGTCTTGATAAAGCTTTCTCCTCTGTTAAACTAAAATCAATTTTAAAAAAATAAAAACAAATAAAAAATACAAGTAACTTTCCTGACGACGAACACGAGGCTGACTTCACGTTGGTCACGTGACTGTTCTGTTTCCTATTCCGTGTCATTGAACGTGAACTGCGACCGATGGACTCAAACAGAAACAAACCAGAATAGAAACCAATACTGACAGCTGGGTGAGGCGGCTCAGGTAGGATCGATGCCTACAGACTATATGGCATTAAACATCTTATTTACAATTAAGTGCAGTTAAAGTGTCAGTGGCTCCTTTTGCTAAGATAATCTTTGCACTGAATATGACTGCTTTAGTCATGTGTGTAACTAATCTGTCATCCCTCCTCTCAGGTAGTGTGTGATTAAAATGCAGCCATCTTCATGTGACACCTTCGTGGCTCTACCTCCCTCCACTGAGGGTGAACGCATCATCTTTGGGAAGAACTCTGACAGGCCTTGTGATGAAGTCCAGGAGGTTGTGTATTTTCCTGCCAGGGACTATGCTGCAGAGGAGAAAGTTGAGGTAGGTGGCACACAGTTTAGCCTGTCATTGGCCTCCAACCTTCAATTTACCACAGTGTGAAAGCTCCTGTGCTGAGTGTGCCAATTGATAACCATTGACAGTTTTTTGCTCTTGTGTCCTGTTGTTTTTTTTCTTTTTCTTTTTGTGAAAAGTGCACATACATAGAGATAGAGCAGGTTGGCCACACTCACGCAGTCGTGTTGAGCAGACCGGCGTGGCTGTGGGGGGCAGAGATGGGCGCAAATGAGCATCAAGTGTGCATTGGAAACGAAGCAGTGTGGGGCAGAGAGAGTGCCGACGATGAGGAGGCTCTTCTCGGCATGGATCTCGTCAGGTAAGCCCCATGTCAGATGAATAATCTGTGTTTCCAAGCCACATTTGTTTACTCATCCTGAGGCGCAAAGGGAATTTTAATAAGGTGGCACCAGCCAGAACCTATTAGATATATTTTATTCAGCTGGCTTTTGTCAGATCAGAGTAAATTTGTGGGAAATACTCATAGACAGATAAGATAAAATAAGACAAGGCTTAATTAATTCCACAGTTTGCAGTATTACATCAGATAGTGTAAAAACGTTGGGACAGATTCTTCCATATGTAGAACTTCAAATATTGTATGGATTCCTCAGAATGTGGGAAGTAGTGATATTGCATGAGATTCTTTGTATGTAGGGAATACATTGCACAGAACAATATTGCACAAATACTTTTTTAAATTTACAAAATATTCCAAAAGCAACAAGAATTTGTGATTTCTATCATTCCACAGGCTCGGTCTCGAGAGAGCTGACACAGCTGAGAAGGCTGTGGATGTTATCACTGAGCTGCTGGAGAAATACGGTCAGGGAGGATCATGCATGGAGGACGAAAGTGGCTTCACCTACCACAACAGCTTCCTCATCTCCGACAGGAAGGAGGCATGGCTGCTGGAGACGTCAGGAAAGCACTGGGCAGCAGAGAGGGTGGAAGGTAATTTTCAATAAAAGTGAATGGCATGAGCTTAGAAGACACTTTGAGCAAGATAAGGAAATTTGCGAAGAAGTGGGGAAGTAGGCTTCTTAAAACGTATGATGATTTACATGGAGA